AGAATATTCATCAGGAAGGACATCCTGTAGACAAGGTAGGGTTGAAAACACTTCCAATATTGACCTTTTCAAACGGAACCCATTTGGCGTCAGAATTACACTGTTTGTATGGGAATCCAATGGCAAATAGTTCCTTAAAAGTCAAATGCCAAACTTATGAATATGAAAGTTAAGATGCTAGACAAAGGATTGTATTGACGAAATTTTGGGGATGAAGCTGTGTTAAAAAGCGTCCAGTCCAGTTTTAACTGGTGCGAACTTCTGAACGCCGCGTACAAATTCGCGGGGAAAAAAACTCATAGACCAAAGTATAGAAAATTAAGAAGGCGACTGGACGCTTTCTAGCTTAGCTACATCCCGGACATTTGGTCAATGCCATCCCTAGTCTATTATCTTAACTTTGGTAAAGAGTAAGGCCAGGGTACGACTGTCATCTTTTACGGAAATTCCTGAAAAAATGCTAAATTAATTTTCCATTCGCCATTGGAAACGTTTGGAAATTTAAACCGGATTTTTTGGTCGCGCGCCCTTGGTTTCAAATTGTTCATAAACTTAGTTTACCAAAGTTGCGGTGGGCCCCTAATCGCTTTCATTTGGTTTCATATTAGCGGCGGAACGTTGGGGTTAAATGTTGGTGGCAAATTTAGTATTTCTGTGTTCTGAATATCGTTAGCCGTCGTTTTACAGCTTTCAAAGTGTGTTCATGTAATGATATACTCGGGATACCTTTAGTAGGCTGGCAACGGTTTCCAGCATTTTCCGGTCAGCACCTCTACTTAAATGGATCAAAACAGCCTTATTTTTCGGTGGCAAACAGATGCGCAAACATGCAAGAGAGGCCTGAAAGATAAGATAGTTAATCTCCCCTATAGTCTCTATTCTCAAGGTAGTCCTTCCCAGTTATTTTCTATATGTTGTACCCATGCAGTCCTTCCGGGAATAACTCGCCTGACAGGGATTACCTTGGGAATAGGACCTTTATGCGGGATTAACTCTCGCTTACCTTCACCCTCTCCATTTCTTGTCATAACAAGTTACCATAACATCGTTATAACCTGTCAAAAACATCCTCAGTTTTAGCTTTATAGTCAAACCAGATGCCCTTTCGATGCACACTCTGCAAAGTTGCGAAATAATGCTCTAATATCGATTGAGAGGTTTACTCGAAGCAACTTGCAACTAGCAATTCAAATTGGTTCGAGAAAGTTGCCAAGTTACGTTTGAGTTTTGACAATTCCCGGTTTTCGTTTTTCCCGTATAATGTAAAATAATATTACTTCTTTATCAAAGAGGTAGAAACGACTTGCCTCATGGTTGACGGTTTATCATCAAATTGAGTTGAAATCGCCCGAATTGGGAATTGCACTTAAAAATCCAAATTTGCTCTACAAGGTGCGCATACGTTCCAAGTTATGAAGCCTGATATTCAGACTGCGATTTGAACGCAACCTGTCTCTAATTTCTCGTCATCGATAAGTATAAGCCGTCGACCATAGGGTGATTAGGTTTTCATCCTTGAGACAGAAGTGGTTTTATTTCGCTTTAGCG